TCTGTCCCTGAGTCTCTGCCCCAGCGCCCCCAGCCTCTCTACACAGCTAAGCTGGCCCAGGGAGGAGATGCTGGAGCTGCACCAGGCCCTGCTTAGAAGAGCAGGACGCCTGGGAGGCACAGCCCTGGTACCTGACACCCAGAAGCTCAAGGAGCAGATGAGATGCAGTGACATGGACCTTGTTCTCTGAACCTCTGACCCCATGCACTGTCCCATTCCCCACTTAAACAGCCACTTTAGAATGGAAGGGACACCAGGAAGAGAATGCCACTGGGGAGCCACAGCCTCTTGGGTCTGGGCCATCCTCACTGTGACCCTGCCCACAACAAGGCTCCCAGTCAAGCCCTCAATATAACACACGGAGCACTTACAAACACCACAGACACAGTTGCTTCAATTCTGAATTTTGTTAAAAAACAAACAAACAAACAAACAAACATGATAAATCAGGAACAGGTTTGGGAGTGGTGGTGATGCAGAGGGAAGCATGGACAGGACAAGATGAGGGCTGGCAGGGGCCGGGGGCAGGGCCGTCTCCACCCTGATCCCTGGTATCTTCTTCTGATGAGACAGACGGCCACAGTCCAGAGCGGGTCATTCCTCTCCTCTACCGTGTCTGTTCAACTGAAGAAAAAACGCCACAATAAGACAAAAGAGGAGAAATTTAAATTTCTCTCCCTCCCTCCCTTTCTCTCCCCACAGCTGTGTCCTAGGTTCAGAGGATACTCTTGGGAGTAGGAACACTCCCTGTTGCTGGAGAAAAGAGACGGAGAAAGACCCCACACAAGGGTCCCTCACCAAAGCATGGAAACTCCAGGAGGGCAGCCAACAACCAAGGGCCATTCAGCACCAGAGGCCTCTACCCAGAGGTTTACATGAGGCACTAACAAGGAAAGAGGGAGCAGGATTCAACAAGATGCTTCAGAGGGCAAAGGTGCTGTCACTAAAACTGACAACCTGAGTTCACGCCGGGAAACCCACAGGGTGGAGGACAGACACCCAATAGTGTCCTCTGATCTCTACATGCTGTGGTATGTACACACACACATGCACGTACGCAGGCATGCACGCACGCAGGCGGCAGGCAGCATGGTGGGGGTGCAGTCACTGTAGGAGATGTCGATCTCATCGGGGAGCTCACTGATGTTGACCTCAAAGCGGTCCTGCACGTCATTGAGGATCTTAGCATCATTCTCATCTGACACAAATGTGATGGCCAAGCCCTTGGTGCCAAACCGGCCTGCTCTGGCCACCTGGGAGGAGACAATGAGAAGATCACGAGTTCACAGGGGAGACAGAGATACAAGGGAAGGGGACAGCGTGTGCATGAGCGCAGGCACACACAGAGGAAGAGGGGGAGGGCGGGCAGCTTACCCGGTGCAAGTAGGTGTCCGAGTCCTCTGGCATGTCATAGTTGAAGGCGATGTTCACACGCTCAATGT